CGAGAATTCGTGGCGTTCATCAATATTCTCCAGACCATAGCAGCCACTTTTGTTGAGGTAATTGTAACGATCTGGAGCCTCGAGATGCAGCACCTGTCTCTCCTGGTCAGTAGCACCAGCCAAAAGATAGTAGAACACGTGGTAATTTCGCTCATTTTTACCCTGTGACACTATTCTCGACTTTTCAAGGAGATACTTCTGCACCACAGCCCCATGAACCATTCCATTCTCCTTGTAATTCACCTGAATAAATTTACCAAATCTGCTGCTGTTGTTGTTATGGGCTGTCTTGGCATTTCCAAACGCCTCCAGTACTGGCCCAGCACTGAGAATTGTCTGCTCAACTCCACTCCCATGGGAGCCCTTTTGACTGAGCGCTGTCAGATGATGGAGCAAAAAATTTGTTGACTCTGTCTTGCCTGAACCACTCTCACCGCTTATCACGATGCACTGATTCTTCTTTTCTTTCAGCATCGAATGATAAGCAGCATCAGCTATTGCAAATATATGGGGTGGTATATCTGGTCCTAAGCGACGATTTTGGTAGAGTTTAACATATTTTGGATTGTAGATTGGGTAAAATTTGAAGGGATTCACTGCTATCAGAATGCTTCCAACATAAGTGTAGATGTTACCAGCCAAAAAACGAGCTCGGAGATTATCCAGAAGTGTTTGCTCATTCAAATCAGGGAGCTGACAAAGGTCTGGGTATTCCTTATCACGTGGTTGGTACAGAAAACGATTGAAGTAGTCTTTCAGGAGCTGTGGATCCATGGGAAATCGACTGTCTGACCAGAGATAATCTGGCTGTTTTTTTCGGAGATAAAACCTGTAGTACTCCTGCTGTGCTGAATTTTTTGGCCACAATAGCATGAGTGCAACAGGACACTCTGATGGCCCTAGTCTCCTCTCCTTACACTCCTGTCCCACAGAATTGCCCACAACCTCAGCCAATTCATACCCATTCATGAGATTGGCATCACCGAGTCCCAGTCTCTCAATAATGCACTCCACTATTTCAGCTGATGTTGTTTGTTTTGTTGCTTTTATGGACAATGCTTCGTACTCGGGGCTCCACTCGCCCACGAATACCTGGACAACTCCAGAGCCCGCGTTCTCCATGTCTTTCAACCCTGCAAAATAATTGTCATCGCCCATTAAGAATCTTCATTGAAAATCGCAAATATTCACAAAAAGGATGTCTGTATTTTGATAACAATTTAAAACCACTAACATTTTTTATTTAGAAATTAAAAGGACAAGAGAAATCGCATCATTCAACTCATCCCTATTTTGCACATTACCTTTTATTTTTTTCGAGTCTCCTAATAGACGAATTATCAACCTCAACAAATCCCATAAACTCCCAAGTATAAGACAAAGTTGATTTATTTATTTCTCCCCAGACAATTGCGATTAATTTTTTGTTGCATAGAAAAGTGATTTCCATATGCTTTGTTGTCAACTAGAGGAGTGATAGATCTTTTGTTGTATTTGGAAAGAATGAAATTTTATGAAAATTAGTAAACATCATTAAGAATTGATCTCAACAGAATACAGATGTTGATTTCGGGGATTCTCGATTCAACTGGCGGATATTTCGCTTTTTTCCCCTGTCATGTGAAATTTTAAGCAGCTGCGGAGATGGTTAAAAATAAACTCGCGCTTAGAATACCAAAATTTTGAGCATAAACATAAATATAACAGGGAAAAAATAAAATTCTAATCGAGAATATTCCGTTCACTTGAACAATTCTGCGGAATCCTTTGGATTTCCGTGGGGATGGGTAATTAATGGTTTCCAGTTGTTAATAAATCT